TTAATGTTTGGTAAGCATGGAACTTCAGGCGACAGCCATGGATTCCAGGGAACCGAACGAGCTAACGCCTAGAAGCCTGAGAGAGTTGCGGTAGGAATGGCGTTCAGGAAAGCTCGAAAATAAAAATCAGGAGAATCACGAAGTGGCGTTGGTGTAAGGTTCAGTTGAGCAATGCCGGTATTCCAGAGCGATCCAGAGTGGTGAAGGGAGATTTACGTGGACGTGAGAGAGATGCGACGGAAGTGACCGTCTTTCTGAAGGAAGACACTTGCCGCCGCAGTGTCGGCACACAGCCTCGTGAACCGAAAAAGTTGGCCTTTCGCTTGGGGAAGGGTGGTTACTGTGACTAGGTTTCGTGAGCAAAGTCACGAAAAATCCGCAGCGCGGGAGTCTCGCAGTTCAAAGTATTTGCGCGGGAAACAGCCACATGTCCCTGACAGACGCTCATGTGAAGGCTCGCCCGCTTCCCCCAGCGATGGTATGGTTGAGCGCAAGTATAAGGGGATATAATGTGCATAACATTATTGATGGGATCCTGTAGCCGCCTCGAACTCACTATGAGCGTAAACTTTCAGTAAGTATTAAAATCACCAATATATCTCATGAGCGTCATCAGCACGCACCAACTTCATCACCCAGGACTCTTGTCACCTTCATACATAGTAACCCAAAGCTTTGATATCCAGTTATTTTGGTGGCGAAAGAAGATGCTCTATGGACCCTAGTTCATTTTATCATTGCTTGAGAAGCGTGAGAGCTCTAATCCCTACCCAGCATGTTCTGCCTTTTACTAATTGCTTTTCATGATGCTGCTGCTCATAGGTACTTTCCAAACCTCCCAGCCAATCAACACCGCCAGCACCACAACAAACAGCAACGCGGTCACCTCGCTGAAAGCAGCACCTGTACGACAGAAGGTGGGTAGCAGAGCAGCTACCATCCCAACCACACTATCGTCCACCCAGCTGCTTCTCCACAAATCTCCCGCATTTTCTATTCCACCGTTCTCCACCCCTGCAATTTGTGTGCTACATCATTGGCGCTTTCTCAAACTTGCTCATTCCATCATCCGTCTGCTCGCCCCTGCAACTCTCCACCACCCTCACAACAACCTCCCACCTGACCATCCAATTCCCTCTGCCTCTTACCTCCACCACCCAGTCTCCACCACTACCCACCACCTCCCACCTGACCATCCCACTCCCCCACTCACCCACCTTAGCAGACTCACCACAATAGACTTTCACGCATCCGGTGGCATCAATGCCATACAGCTAATCAGGTGCCACCAATCAAGCATAAGAGTCATGCTCTCATGGATTAGGTGGCATCAGTGCCATACAGCTCATCAAGTGCCACCAACCAAGCATGAGCATCATGCTCTCAAGCAACAGGTGGCATCAGTGCCATACGGCTCATCATGTGCCACCAACCAAGCATGAGAATCATGCTCACCCACCCAAGGGAACTCAGCACCTTTCACTTGCACTCACCCACCCAAGGGGACTCAGCCCCTTTCACTTGCACTCACCCACCCAAGGGAACTCAGCCCCTTTCACTTGCACTCACCCACCCAAGGGAACTCAGCCCCTTTCACTTGCACTCACCCTCAGCCCCTTTCACTTGCACTCACCCACCCAAGGGGACTCAGCCCCTTTCACCCACTCACGAGCATCACGCTTCCATGCACGGGTGGCATTAGTGCAACTCATCATGTGCCACCAACCAACCAAGCATGAGCATCATGCTTCCATGCACGGGTGGCATCAGTGCAACTCATCATGTGCCACCAACCAACCAAGCATGAGCATCATGCTTCCATGCTTAAGGGTGGCATCAGTGCAACTCATCATGTGCCCCCAACCAGCCAAGCATGAGCATCATGCTTCCATGCTTAAGGGTGGCTTCAGTGCAACTCATCATGTGCCCCCAACCAGCCAAGCATGAGCATCATGCTTCCATGCTTAAGGGTGGCATCAGTGCAACTCATCATGTGCCCCCAACCAGCCAAGCATGAGCATCATGCTTCCTGCTTAAGGGTGGCATCAGTGCAACTCATCATGTGCCCCCAACCAGCCAAGCATGAGCATCATGCTTCCTGCTTAAGGGTGGCATCAGTGCAACTCATCATGTGCGCCCAACCAGCCAAGCATGAGCATCATGCTTCCATGCTTAAGGGTGGCATCAGTGCAACTCATCATGTGCCCCCAACCAACCAAGCATGAGCATCATGCTTCCATGCTTAAGGGTGGCATCAGTGCAACTCATCATGTGCCCCCAAACAACCAAGCATGAGCATCATGCTTCCATGCTTAAGGGTGGCATCAGTGCCATATGGCTCATCATATGCCACCGCCAACCCCACTGCCTCTCACCACCATCACCCCATCACCCCATCACCACCATCACCACACAGCCCACCCATCCCCTCCCCACCTTACCTGCCAGCAGTAGGAGCAGCAGACAGCCCACTCCCCTTCGGAAACAGCACCCCCAGGGGCTGTGCCTTGAAGGGCGAGGTGTGGTAGTGGAAAATTGCTTCCAGCCCAAGACTCAAATCCTGCCCCTGACGTAGCTAGAGCTGACGCGAACCAGAGTCGCCGGCCGGTCGACTCTGACGGTGCCCATTAAGCCTTAACGTCAGGTTAGTTACTTGAGCACCGAGTGCCGTGCCGCGCAGATTCCACCCACCACACCCCGACCCGCAAGGCACATGCCTAGAGGATGCTGCCCCTGAGAGAGTGACCTGCCCACTTGCTCCCATGCTTCCCACCGCCTCCCCACTCTCCCCTTCACCCCATGCCTCTTACCTCTACCTACCACAGCCATGCAGAGCGCCATGTTGCCTCAGGGTGTTGGGAAGTGGGGAGGGAGGAGGAGGGGGGAGGAGGGAGGGGGATGAGTGGGGTTAGTGCGATGGCTCTGTCCCGCCCTTGCTCCCTCTCTCCCTCAGGCTGCATCGACCGTGCTGGAAAGTGGGGAGGGGGGCAGCGCGAGGGAGAAGGGGAGGGGTAGGTGAGGATGAAAAGAGAGATGCCTCTGTCCCGCCCTTGCTCCAGTGCTCCCTCCATACTCAGGCTGCAAAGAGAGGTGGGGAGGAAGAAAGAGGGGAGGGGATCAGATCTCCATACCAAACCTGTTACCATACCTTACCTGATACCATACCACACCTCGCTCACGACTCGACCTAACCTAGCCCGCCTCTAACCCCCCACCCCCCACTGCTGCTGCTGCTTCTGCTGCCGCTTCTGCTGCTACAACTGCTGCTGCCGGTCTGCTACTCAGCTTCTCTGCTACAGTCTTCTCTCGATGCGCAGTGGCCTGCAGGGGTGGGGGCAGAAGAATAGGGGGAAAGTAAAAGAAAGTGAATAGGCTGGACTAGAGAAACCAATGAACTGAAGTTGACGAGAAAGAGAAGGCGGAACTACAGAGCAGAAATAGAGAGGGTTGAGGGCAACAGGGGAGGCGGCGTACCTTGAGAGGCCAAGCCCAACCCGATACTCTCCCTTGTGGCAGCGACTGGCAGAGCTGCCCCCCTCCCATCCCCACAGACAGGCACCTGCACGGCCACAGGCGAGGGGGGTGGAGGCAGACGAAAGGGGGGAAGTAAAAGCAACTGAGTTGGCTGGACCAGAGAAGGAAAAACAAAACTGAAAAACAAAAATGAAATCGAGAAGGCAAAACTGAAGAACAGAAAGAGAGAGAGACGAGGGCAAGAGGGCAGTTGACGTACCTTGAGAGGCCAAGCCCACCCCGATACTCTCCCTTGTGGCAGAGACCGGCAGTGCTGCCTCACTCCCATCCACACAGGTACCTGCACCGCCACCGGGGAGGGGCGTGAGGAAGTGTCGGTGTTGACCCCCGCCCCTCCCCTCCACCTGCAAGGCACACACGCAGAGCTGGTCAGTGGGCAGCGAGGGGAGGAAGGGTGAGAGTGCAAGAGCGAGAAGAGAGTTTGCAAGGCGAGAGCAGGGAGGGGCCACTGGTGGAGGCCAAGCCACAAAGCACAGACCCCAAGAGGTGAACCTGAGAGGGTACCTGCACCTGAGAGGGTACCTGCACCTGAAGGGGTTACCTGCACCTGATCTACACCTGAGGGGTTACCTGGAGTTGGGGGGTCTGTGGCATGTGAGGCGGACCTAACCAGTGGCACTGCTTCAAGAGGAAGGGTGCGAAAGCAGATGCGACAAACGAAATGGCAGCAGCAAGGGCGAGGGCATGGAGGAAGGGACACTTAGCTGATTGTGTGAGAGCGAGCAGAGGGCAGCTGAAGCACCACTGCAGTCTTCACTCGATGCCAAGTGACCTGGTAAGGGGGGAAGAAAGGGGGGAAGTAAGAGCAAGTGAGTTGGCATGACTAGCAAGAAAAACAAACTATAGCCGAGGAAAACGAGAATGAAGAGCAGAAAGGGAGAGGGATGAGGGCAAGAGAGAGGCTGACGTACCTTGAGAGGCCAAGCCCACCCCGATACTCTCCCTTGTGGCAGCGACTGGCAGTGCTTCCTCCCTCCCATCCCCACAGGTACCTGCACGGCCACAGGGGAGGGGCGTGAGGGAGCGTCGGTGTTGACCCCCGCCCCTCCCCTCCACCTGCAAGGCACACGCAGAGCTGGTCAGTGGGCAGCGAGGGGAGGAAGGGTGAGAGTGCAAGAGCGAGAAGAGAGTTTGCAAGGCGAGAGCAGGGAGGGGCCACTGGTGGAGGCCAAGCCACAAAGCACAGACCCCAAGGGGTGAACCTGAGAGCTTACCTGCACCTGAAGGGGTTACCTGCACCTGAAAGGGTTACCTGCACCTGATCTACACCTGAGGGGTTACCTGGAGTTGAGGGGTCTGTGGCATGTGAGGCGGACCTAACCAGTGGCTTTGCTTCAAGAGGAGGGGTGCGAACTCAGATGCGAAAAACGAAATGGCAGCAGCAAGGGCGAGGGCATGGAGGAAGGGACACTTAGCTGATTGTGTGAGAGCGAGCAGAGGGCGGCTGAAGATGAAGCACCAGCAGATTACTCCCTTGCACGGCAGCCCTCCTCCCAGCATTCCGAGCGATCTGGTAAGGAGGGAAGAAAGGGGGGAAGTAAGAGTAAGTGAGTTGGCATGACTAACAAGAAAACAAACTGAAGCTGAGGAAAACGAGAAGGCGGAATTGAAGAGCAGAAAGGGATGAGGGCAAGAGAGAGGCTCACGTACCTTGAGAGGCCAAGCCCACCCCGATAATCTCCCTTGTGGCAACGAGAGTCAGTGCTGCCTCCTCTCCATCCCCACGGGTACCTGCACGGCCACAGGGGAGGGGCGTGAGGGAGCGTCGGTGTTGACCCCCGCCCCTCCCCTCCACCTGCAAGGCACACGCAGAGCTGGTCAGTGGGCAGCGAGGGGAGGAAGGGCGGGTTGACAGCTAGCAGAGTTTACAAGTGCGAGTCACACAGGCAGGGCGGGTTATATGATCGGCCACTGGAGGGGGCAGGAGCACAAGGCACAGACTGCAAGGGGACCTAAGGACGTAACCCGAACCTGAACCTGAACCTGAACCTGAGGGGCCTGTAGACAAGACTGAACCTGAAGCTGAACCTGAACCTGAGGGGGCTGTAGGCTAAACCTGAACCTGAGCCTGGGGGCTTACCTGAAGTCAGGGGGAAAGTCTGTGGCTTGTGAGCCAGTGGCGAAAGTTTGAGAGGCAAAGAGAAAGCAGCGAGTATGAACAATGCGCAGCAAGCAAAGGTGAGGGACGATTATGAGGAAGAGTGACTTAACTGGCAGATGAAGAGCCGCCAGCAGGGCTGTTGCCTCATCCCTCCCTCCCCTCCCCTTCTCCTCCAGTGATCCCTCTGCTGCCTTCCCCGCCTGCTGCCGTCCCCCTGGCTTGTGAAGGCCTGGCAGGGTAGGGAGAAGAGGGAGGGCAGGGCGGAAAGGAAAGGCAGCCGAAAGTAAGAGGGGTTGCAATGGAGAAAAGTGTCAAACACACGTGCAACAGCAGAAACGACAGTGCATGTGACGCCAACCACAACCCCACAAGAGCCGCTACCAACCTGCACCTGCACCTGAACCTGAACCTGAACCTGAGGGGGAGTGGGCTCGAGTGGAGTGTGGTGGCAGGGGCGATACTGCAACCTCAACCGTTGATGAGGCCGGCGCTGCTGCCCCGCTGCCCGCCCTGGTGCTCCCCTCGCCTGCTGCTCGCCTGCTGCCCTCCCCCTGGCTTGTGAAGGCCTGGCAGGGAAGCGAGGGGATGGAGGGCAGGGCGGAAAGGAAAGGCAGCCGAAAGTAAGAGGGGTTGCAAAGGAGAATAGTGTCAAACACACGTGCAACAGCAGAAACGACAGTGCATGTGACGCCAACCACAACCCCACAAGAGCCGCTACCGACCTGAACCTGCACCTGAACCTGAACCTGAACCTGAGGGGGAGTGGGCTCGAGTGGAGTGTGGTGGCAGGGGCGATACTGCAACCTCAACCGTTGATGAGGCCGGCGCTGCTGCCCCGCTGCCCGTGCTCCTGCTGCCCGCCCTGGTGCTCCCCTCGCCTGCTGCTCGCCTGCTGCCGTCCCCCTGGCTTGTGAAGGTCTGGCAGGGAAGGGAGGGGAGGGAGGGCAGGGCGGAAAGGAAAGGCAGCCGAAAGTAAGAGGGGTTGCAAAGGAGAAAAGTGTCAAACACACGTGCAACAGCAGAAACGACAGTGCATGTGACGCCAACCACAACCCCACAAGAGCCGCTACCAACCTGAACCTGCACCTGAACCTGAACCTGAACCTGAGGGGGAGTGGGCTCGAGTGGAGTGTGGTGGCAGGGGCGATACTGCAACCTCAACCGTTGATGAGGCCGGCGCTGCTGCCCCGCTGCCTGCGCTCCTGCTGCCCGCCCTGGTGCTCCCCTCGCCTGCTGCTCGCCTGCTGCCGTCCCCCTGGCTTGTGAAGGCCTGGCAGGGAAGGGAGGGGAGGGAGGGCAGGGCGGAAAGGAAAGGCAGCCGAAAGTAAGAGGGGTTGCAAAGGAGAAAAGTGTCAAACACACGTGCAACAGCAGAAACGACAGTGCATGTGACGCCAACCACAACCCCACAAGAGCCGCTACCAACCTGAACCTGCACCTGAACCTGAACCTGAACCTGAGGGGGAGTGGGCTCGAGTGGAGTGTGGTGGCAGGGGCGATACTGCAACCTCAACCGTTGATGAGGCCGGCGCTGCTGCCCCGCTGCCCGTGCTCCTGCTGCCCGTCCTGGTGCTCCCCTCGCCTGCTGCTCGCCTGCTGCCGTCCCCCTGGCTTCTGAAGGCCTGGCAGGGAAGGGAGGGGAGGGAGGGGAGGGCGGAAAGGAAAGGCAGCCGAAAGTAAGAGGGGTTGCAAAGGAGAAAAGTGTCAAACACACGTGCAACAGCAGAAACGACCAACAGCAGAAACGACAGTGCATGTGACGCCAACCACAACCCCACAAGAGCCGCTACCAACCTGTACCTGCACCTGAACCTGAACCTGAACCTGAGGGGGAGTGGGCTCGAGTGGAGTGTGGTGGCAGGGGCGATACTGCAACCTCAACCGTTGATGAGGCCGGCGCTGCTGCCCCGCTGCCCGCGCTCCTGCTGCCCGCCCTGGTGCTCCCCTCGCCCGCTGCCCGCGCTCCTGCTGCCGCGCTCAGGACACGGAGTGACGGGGGATCAGAGGAGTGGGGAGGGCGTTGAGGTTATATCCAAATCAGGGTGAAGAAAATGCACGAATGATGCTTGCATGAATGGACTGCTGCCGTGGCACAGCCAAGAGACCTCGTACCAGCTGAACAAAGCTTAACCTAATACCTGAGCACATACCTGCTACCTTGCTACCTTGGGGGAGTGAGGTCTCTTGAGTGTGACAGAGGGCAGTAAGGAAGGGAGTGTGCAGTATAGTGCATGAAAGCCCACACAAGTGCGAGGGTTGAGAAGGGAGATGTACTTAGCTTAGCTGTGGGTGGGTTAGGTGGAGAGCGGCCGCGAGTGACGGAAGAGAGTGGGCCCGAAATCGCAGGTCGCCAGAGTGGTTCAACGGCACCCACCAGCGTGGCTCCCGTCCTGGGGGTTGACGCACGGCGTGACGCACGGCGGCCTGCAGTGGGTGGACAAACGCGGCGACAACCATGAGTGAAATCGATCGGGAAACGTACGTCAGGGAAGCAGCTCGCGAAACGACGTACTGTGATACGAAATCGATCTGCGCGATTAGATCGCGAAATTGAAAGTCGGAATCTAGCATTGCAGAGTTGAAACGGGAAACTGAAACGCGACTATGTACAAAATCGATCGGTGAATCTGCTCATCAAGATTGAAACGCGAAACGGAAAAGCGAACGCTTGACATGCGGGGAAATTGACTACATGTACGGGTGTGGTTTAGCGAAATACCTGAGCTGCCAGACGAAGCGAATTTGTAACTCGCACGCACTCTCCGAAATCGTACGGAGAACGAGATGGTGATTCAGCGACATGTGGCCTCCCTGCTACTTGTCCCAGGGACGAAACGAAAGCATGCTACACAACTAAAAAAAACTCGGATACGTGGAAAAAAGCACTCGCACTGAGACGTACCTTGCATACGAAAATCGCCATCCTAGCACTTGTTCCTTCGTAATCAAAGTTTCCAGGCTTCATGCGCGATCTCCTATTCCCGACACGCGAATTCCTCTTCCGACACGCGATTTCCTCTTCCCAACACGCGATTTCCTCCTCCGACACGCGATTTCCTCTTCCCGACACGCGATTTCCTCTTCCCGACACGCGATTTCCTCTTCCGGTTAACGCAGCTTCTACTAAGCCAGGCCTGGAGCAGAATGAAATTGGAATTCACTAGCGGCTCGACTTTTCGCAGTCACAGGAGCTCTAAGAAAATGAGCAGAAGAAGCTGAGCGTGAGAAAATGAGAGCAAGAGGCGAAAGCGCTGTGAATTCCGAGGCTCAGGCGAGAATGAGGCGAGAGACGACGGTGACGCTGGAATGAGGCGGAGGGGTCACCAACTGCCTCTCCTCTCCTCTCCTCACACCAACACTCTTCAGATCTACCGTCCAGAATCACTGGATTGACTGAAACTTTCTTGGTAACTCAGATCTCAGCCGTAGGTTCAGGCCTTTGCGTGTTTCGTCACGGCAACCCTAGCAAGTTCCGCATTGGTCTACAGGCTAACCGGCTGTGTTGGGTCGCGAGGAAAAGTGACGGTGGCTCCGAATGGTTGGTCTGGTCAGGCTTTTTTTTTGTCGGGAGATTCGAGAGTCCACGCCGATGGCTGGTTGAGAATCGTCCGCGTGTGACATGAATCAGCCGGTCAGGGAAGGAAAAGAAAATTCCCAAGTTTACGCTGTTCGCTTGTCCCCGCCTTTCACCTCAGCGGCTACGCAAGACAAACGACACCGACTTTTTTCCAGCGAGATTCCGTTGACAAAGGCGGGAGTAGCGGGATTTCGCTGGTGAACGTTGGACCCCGTGGCCTAGGAACCGTCGATTGTCGCCCAATCTGGAGGCGCAGAGTCGTCGTGTCAGTTTGGAACGCGGCAAGCCCAATGGTTTGAATTCGAAGCTCTCGTTCCTACCACTAAGAGCGAAGTGAATCTCAGCCGTGGATAAAGAATCTAGGCAAGCAGGTGAGGTTGAGATCTGAAGGTTGAGCTGATCCACTCTCAGACTCTAGTCTGTTGATGGCAAAGGACTGGGCAAAATGGGCGAAGATGGCGAAATCTCCCATTCTCGCACATGTGCTGTTACTCGTTGTTGATTGGTCAAGTAAATTATCTTCTGACACCCGCTGGCTCCTCTGATCCGAGAAGAAATGTGCTGATCTCATTAACGAAACTGGTTCCGAGCAGGTACACCAACCAAGTTTAGATAACTTCTGAACTACAACACTACTATTGAATACAACACTTCTTGCCATCTTAAATCATTTGGGTTGCAATTTCATGTCACCATCATTGCAAGGCCGCACGTATACCACGAGCATACCATCATTCAAATGTATACAACTTTCCTTGTTTGTCAATTTTGGTTAAGCGGCAAAACGTTCCTACGAAACACCATAGTTGGGTGGTTTTTATCGAAGTGCTTACAGAAACAACCGTTTCAGAGTGCAGTAGTATGGTCACACTCATGAAAAATGAACATAGTACAGAATCCTTGCTGAAAACAGATGATCAGCCCAGTACTCCCCCAGAATCTTAGGTGAAGGTAAAATCTGCTGGTGAGGGTATGAAAATTACAGGGGTACAAAGAAACCTGTGAGGGTACAAAGTGATCATGTACACGCACACATGTTCACAGATGAATGACCACTGCACACAAACCTGTATGCACAGGTGCAAATATGCATGCACACCCATTCTCACTGCACTCTCACCGCTCACCCATGCACTCTCAACCTTTACACTCGCACCATTCACTCCCTTCACCACCACCCACCAGCAGATCCGAATCTTCACCACTCTTCACCACTCTTCACCACTGATTCCCTCCACTCACTCTGACGATTCACTCTCACTACTCACTCCACCTCGCCACCTCGCCACTCCCACCCCTCCACTACTCACGATTCTCACCACTCACTGAAAATCACGTTACCCTCACCACCCACTCTTACTGCATTCTCACAACTCACAAAAAATCACCTTTCTCTCACCACCCACTCTTACTGAAATCTCACTACTCACTCAATCTAACCACCTCACCATACCCATCCACAACTCTTTGTCACCACTCACTCTCACTACTCAGTGTCACCACACTCCTACCATTCTGGCCACTCAATCTCACCACGCTCTCTCACCACTCAAAACTCACCACTCAAACCACTCATCCTCACCACCCTCTGTGCTCTCACTCTCACCACAGATTCATATATTAAATCTGGGCCTTTCAATAGTGCCCTTAAAAAAAACGGCCATTTATCCAGAAAATTGCCCTTTTCAGAACCTCAGGATAAAACGGAGATACGGTATATGGGAGACTGGTACCATGTACACTCGCGCATGTGCAAATTCATGCACACTGCACGCATACACACATGTATGCACAAGTGCAAACACGCATGCTTGGTGTAATCATGCATGCATAGAGCTGCCATTATGACATCTCGGTATTCTGCACACTGTTGCACCACTTGCCACTCTAACCACCCACTCTCACTGCAATCCTACCACTAACTGAAGATCACCACTCTCACCAGCCACTCTCACTGCACTCTCACCACTCAGTATCACCACACTCTTACCATTCTGACCACTCAATCTCACCACACTCTCACCCCTCCAACCTCACCACTCAAACCACTCACCCTCACCACCCTCTCTGCTCTCACTCTTGCGTCCCATTCTCACAAATATCCCCCACCACTCACTCACTCTCACCGCTGTCAACTCTAACTCTCACCACTCATGCTCTCATGCTCATAATGTGCCACCCAAGGGGACTCAGCCCCTTTCACTTGCTCTCACCCACCCAAGGGGACTTAACCCCTTTCACTTGCTCTCACCCACCCAAGGGGACTCAGCCCCTTTCACTTGCACTCACCCACCCAAGGGGACTCAGCCCCTTTCACCAACTCATGAGCATCACGCTTCCATGCACGGGTGGCATCAGTGCAACTCATCATGTGTCCCCAACCAGCCAAGCATGAGCATCATGCTTCCATGCACGGGTGGCATCGGTGCAACTCATCATGTGCCCCCAACCAGCCAAGCATGAGCATCATGCTTCCATGCACGGGTGGCATCAGTGCAACTCATCATGTGCCCCCAACCAGCCAAGCATGAGCATCATGCTTCCATGCACGGGTGGCATCAACTCATCATGTGCCCCCAACCAGCCAAGCATGAGCATCATGCTTCCATGCACGGGTGGCATCAGTGCAACTCATCATGTGCCCCCAACCAGCCAAGCATGAGCATCATGCTTCCATGCACGGGTGGCATCAGTGCAACTCATCATGTGTCCCCAACCAGCCAAGCATGAGCATCATGCTTCCATGCTTAAGGGTGGCATCAGTGCAACTCATCATGTGCCCCCAACCAACCAAGCATGAGCATCATGCTTCCATGCTTAAGGGTGGCATCAGTGCAACTCATCATGTGCCCCCAACCAACCAAGCATGAGCATCATGCTTCCATGCTTAAGGGTGGCATCAGTGCCATATGGCTCATCATATGCCACCGCCAACCCCACTGCCTCTCACCACCATCACCTCATCACCACCATCACCACACAGCCCACCCATCCCCTCCCCACCTTACCTGCCAGCAGTAGGAGCAGCAGACAGCCCACTCCCCTTCGGAAACAGCACCCCCAGGGGCTGTGCCTTGAAGGGCGAGGTGCGGTAGTGGAAAATTGCTTCCAGCCCAAGACTCAAATCCTGCCCCTGACGTAGCTAGAGCTGACGCGAACCAGAGTCGCCGGCCGGTCGACTCTGACGGTGCCCATTAAGCCTTAACGTCAGGTTAGTTACTTGAGCACCGAGTGCCGTGCCGCGCAGATTCCACCCACCACACCCCGACCCGCACGGCACATTCCTAGAGGATGCTGCCCCTGAGAGAGTGACCTGCCCACTTGCTCCCATGCTTCCCACCGCCTCCCCACTCTCCCCTTCACCCCATGCCTCTTACCTCTACCTACCACAGCCATGCAGAGCGCCATGTTGCCTCAGGGTGTTGGGCAGTGGGGAGGGAGGAGGAGGGGAGGGGGGGGGGGGGTGTGTTAGTGCGATGGCTCTGTCCCGCCCTTGATCCCTCTCTCCCTCAGGCTGCATCGACCGTGCTGGAAAGTGGGGAGGGGGGCAGCGGGAGGGAGAAGGGGAGGGGTAGGATGAAAAGAGAGATGCCTCTGTCTCGCCCTTGCTCCAGTGCTCCCTCCATACTCAGGCTGCAAAGAGAGGTGGGGAGGAAGAAAGAGAGGAGGGGATCAGATCTCCATACCAAACCTGTTACCATACCTTACCTGATACCATACCACACCTCGCTCACGACTCGACCTAACCTAGCCCGCCTCTAACCCCCCACCCCCCACTGCTGCTGCTACTGCTGCTGCCGCTTCTGCTGCTACAACTGCTGCTGCTGGTCTGCTACTCAGCTTCTCTGCTTCAGTCTTCACTAGATGCCAAGTGACCTGGTAGGGGGGGAAGAAAGGGGGAAAGTGACAGTAAGTTAGTTGGCATGACCATAAAAACAAAACAAAACTGAAGTTGACAGAAACGAGACAGCAGAATTGAAGAGGAGTAACAGAAAGGAATGAGGGCAGAGAGGGGAGGTGACGTACCTTGAGAGGCCAAGCCCACCCCGATACCCTCCCTTGTGGGAGCCATTGGCAGTGCTCCATCTTCACTCGATGCCAAGTGACCTGGTAGGGGGTGAAGAAAAAGAGGGGAATAAAGAGAAAGTGAGCTGGCATGACCAGAAGTTGACGAAAAACGAGAACACCGAAATGAAAAGCTAAAAGGGAGAGGGATGAGGGCAGAGAGGAGAGGCTGACGTACCTTGAGAGGCCAAGCCCACCCGATACTCTCCCTTGTGGCAGCGACTGGCAGTGCTGCCTCCCTCCCATCCCCACAGGTACCTGCACGGCCACAGGGGAGGGGCGTGAGGGAGCGTCGGTGTTGACCCCCGCCCCTCCCCTCCACCTGCAAAGCACACGCAGAGCTGGTCAGTGGGCAGCGAGGGGAGGAAGGGTGAGAGTGCAAGAGCGAGAAGAGAGTTTGCAAGGCGAGAGCAGGGAGGGGCCACTGGTGGAGGCCAAGCTACAAAGCACAGACCCCAAGGGGTGAACCTGAGAGGGTACCTGCACCTGAAGGGGTTACCTGCACCTGATTGGGTTACCTGCACCTGATCTACACCTGAGGGGTTACCTGGAGTTGGGGGGTCTGTGGCATGTGAGGCGGACCTAACCAGTGGCACTGCTTCAAGAGGAAGGGTGCGAAAGCAGATGAGAAAAACGAAATGGCAGGAGCAAGGGCGAGGGCATGGAGGAAGGGACACTTAGCTGATTGTGTCAGAGCGAGCAGAGGGCATCTGAAGCACCACTGCAGTCTTCACTCGATGCCAAGTGACCTGGTAAGGGGGGGAGAAAGGGGGGGGAGTAAGAGCAAGTGAGTTGGCATGACTAGCAAGAAAACAAACAAAAGCTGAGGAAAACGAGAGCCGAAGTGAAGAGCAGAAAGGGAGAGGGATGAGGGCAAGAGAGAGGCTGACGTACCTTGAGAGGCCAAGCCCACCCCGATACTCTCCCTTGTGGCAGCGACTGGCAGTGCTGCCTCCCTCCCATCCCCACGGGTACCTGCACGGCCACAGGGGAGGGGCGTGAGGGAGCGTCGGTGTTGACCCCCGCCCCTCCCCTCCACCTGCAAGGCACACGCAGAGCTGGTCAGTGGGCAGCGAGGGGAGGAAGGGTGAGAGTGCAAGAGCGAGAAGAGAGTTTGCAAGGCGAGAGCAGGGAGGGGCCACTGGTGGAGGCCAAGCCACAAAGCACAGACCCCAAGGGGTGAACCTGAGAAGGTACCTGCACCTGAAAGGGTTACCTGCACCTTATCTACACCTGAGGGGTTACCTGGAGTTGGGGGGTCTGTGGCATGTGAGGCGGACCTAACCAGTGGCACTGCTTCAAGAGGAAGGGTGCGAAAGCAGATGCGAAAAACGAAATGGCAGCAGCAAGGGCGAGGGCATGGAGGAAGGGGCACTTAGCTGATTGTGTGAGAGCGAGCAGAGGGCAGCTGAAGCACCACTGCAGTCTTCACTCGATGCCAAGTGACCTGGTAAGGGGGGAAGAAAGGGGGGAAGTAAGAGCAAGTGAGTTGGCATGACTAGCAAGAAAACAAACTGAAGCTGAGGAAAACGAGAAGGCGAAATTGAAGAACAGAATGGGTGTACATAAAAAAAACACTCTTGAACTCGAGGGATCGAAGAAAACCAAGTAGCAGCACGAGAGAAGAAACGAAACCAGGTTAGACAGGGACGGGAAAGGAGGCTCACCTTGTTCGGCCGACCCAATCCCGATACTCTCCCATCCCATCCCAGCCGAGTGGAGTGGTGCCCCCCTCCCATCCCACCGCTGCCACCTGCACGGCCACAAAGGGAGGGGCGCGAGGGAGTGGCGGTGTTGACCCCCACGCCCCTCCCCTCCACCTGCAAAGAGCACACACAGCAGCAGTGAGTGTACTGTGCGGGGACTTCAAAAGAATCGACTAGGCAAAGCAACTGCAAGAAGAGAAAAGGTAGCACTGGAGGCACATCCACAAGCCGCAGACCCCTTCGTGAACCTCAAGGGCTTAACCTGAAGGGCTTAACCTGAAGGGGGCTGTAAGGCTTTACAAGGGCTAAACCTGTACCTGAGGGGTTACCAGCTGTAGGGGTAGGGGGGTCTGTGGCTTGTGAGGCGGGCCCAACAAGTGGCGAGATTTCAGAGGGGGAAGCATGAAAAATGCATGAGAGGGCACGAAAGGCAACACCTAGGAGGAGGAATACTTAGCTGGAAAGATGAAGCCCTGCTGCTGCCCTTTCTCCTCTCCTCCGGCTGCCCCATCCCCTCTGTCGCCCCCCTCTGCTGCCCTCCCTCCCTACTGCCCCCTTGCCTCCCTGCTACAGCCTTCAATGCACTGGGTGTAGGGAGGAGAGGGGGAGGGAGGCAGAGAGCAAGAAACAGCAGTGAGAATGGGGAGAAGACCAAGCAGCAGCATGAGTGAAGGAAAGAGAAGACACGAAACCAGTTTTGGCAGGGAGGGAAAAGAGGCTCACCTCGTTCGGCCAACCCATCCCGATACTCTCCCATCCCAGTCGAGTGGAGTGCTGCCCCCCTCCCCTCTTCCCACCACTGCCAACTGCACGGCCACGAGGGGAGGAGCGCGAGGGAGTGGCGGTGTTGACCCCCTGCCCCTCCCCTCCACGTGCAAGGCACACACACAGCAGCAGTGAGTGTACTGTGTGGGGACTAAAAGGAAATCGACTAGGCAACAGAAGTGTGAAGCGAGGGAACGGAAGGCCAACTGGTGCAGCATCAGCTCCAAGCCACAGACGCAAGGGGGGTTACACACCTAGAAAGGATTGACCTGAGAGTATACCTGCTGTACCTGGGGGGTTTACCAAAGAAAAAAGCGTCTGTGGCATGAAGATTTGGCTCAACCAGAGGAGAGATTTCAGATGGAAAAGCATGAATGCATGACATTCAAAAGAAGGCACGAAAGGCCAACACCTAGGAGGAAGAATACTTAGCTGGAAAGTTGAAGCCTTGTTGCTGCCCTTTCTCCTCTCCTCCGGCTGCCCCATCCCCTCTGTCGCCCCCCTCTGCTGCCCTCCCTCCCTCCTGCCACCTTCCCTCCTCCTGCCCCCTTGCCTCCCTGCTACAGCGTTCAATGCACTGGATGTAGGGAGGAGAGAGGGAGGGAGGCAGAGAGCAAGGAACATCAGTGAGAATAGGGAGAAGACCAAGCAGCAGCATGAGTGAAGGAAAGAGAAGACACGAAACCAGTTTTGGCAGGGAGGGAAAAGAGGCTCACCTCGTTCGGCCAACCCATCCCGATACTCTCCCATCCCAGTCGAGTGGAGTGCTGCCCCCCTCCCCTCCTCCCACCACTGCCACCTGCACGGCCACGAGGGGAGGAGCGCGAGGGAGTGGCGGTGTTGACCCCACGCCCCCCCCCTCCACGTGCAAGGCACACACACAGCAGCAGTGAGTGTACTGTGCGGGGACTAAAAGGGATTCGACTAGAACAGAAGTGTGAAGCGAGGGAAGGGAAGGCCAACTGGTGCAGCATCAGCTCCAAGCCACAGACGCAAGGGGGGTAACACACCTAGAAAGGATTGACCTGAGAGTATACCTGCTGTACCTTGGGGGGTTTACCTAAGAAAAAAGCGTTTGTGGCATGAAGCTTTGGCTCAACCAGTGGCGATATTTCAGAGGGAAAAGCATGAAAAATGCATGACATTCAAAAAAAGGCACGAAAGGCCAACACCTAGGAGGAAGAATACTTAGCTGGAAAGTTGAAGCCTTGTTGCTGCCCTTTCTCCTCTCCTCCGGTTGCCCCATCCCCGCTGTCGCCCCTCTCTGCGCTGCTGACTGCTTCTTCCGATGCCTCTCAGTACACCTTGCCTCCCCTCTCCATCCTGCCAAGTGACCTGCAGGGCGGGAGGAGGAGGGCAGGTGCAGACGAATTGAGTGGAGGGAAGCAAGATGCAGAAGAGAAGCAAGCAGCATTCGACCAGGGAAGATGATGGTGGATGGTGAAAGCTCTGCTGCAAGGGGGACAAGACCGAGGGTGCCTACCACGTGGTACCATACCACACCTGGGGCTGTGAGTACCTGAGGCGACCTGCACCTGCTACCTTAGGCTGAACCTACCACCTGTTACTTACCGGGGGAGGTGGTTGACTCCCTGGGCGTGTCCTCTTGCAGTAAGAGCAGCGGTGGGTGCATGAGAATGCAAGACAGACAAAACATGATGTAAGGACACGCAGAAGGGAAAGGGAGGGTGGAGCACTTAGCTTCGGGATGGGTTGCTGCAGTGAGATTCGAGGCAGGTGGCGTGAGTGTGGCGCTCGCTGCTCCCAGCATCCCACTTGCAACCTCTGCTGCCGCCCCTGCCTCCTTCCCCATGCCACCCCTCCCCGTGCTGCCAAGTGACCTGCAGGGAGGGAGGAGGAGGGCAGTTAAGGACGAAGTGAGTGCAAGGAAGCAAGATGCAGAAGGGAAGGAAGCAGCATTCGACCAGGGAAGACGATGGTGGATGGTGAGAGCTCTGCTGCAAGGGGGACACGAAAAAGGGGTCTACCACGAGGTACCATACCATACCATACCAAACCTGGGGCTGTGAGTACCTGAGACGACCTGCACCTGAACCTACCACCTGTTACCTGGGGAGGTGGTTGACTCCCTCGGCGTGTCCCCTTGCAGCGAGAGCAGAGACGGCGGCATGAGCATGCGAGACAGAACGGAATTCGAAGGAGAGAAGGTGAGAACCTGAGGGTAGAGCACTTAGCTTCGGGCGAGGTTGGTGCAGACACGGTTCGAGGCAGGTATGGCACTCGCTGCTCCCTTGCCCATGCCGATGCTCCCACTGCTGGCCGCCCTGCCTCGGCGACAAACCCTGGGAAGTAGGGAAAAGGGGGGAAGTGGGGGGAGAGGGAGGGAAGGGAAAAGACACATAGAGACGAGGAGATAAGAGGTGGTGGGTGCAGCGCGCTGGGTGAGCGGACAGATGGAAACGATTCAAACTTAGACTGACGAGCATCAGTGATGAGGAGACGACGGGGAAATGAGGCGGTATGCATGGCGTGTGCGCTGGCTTGTGGGTGTGGAGCCGCTGCTGCAGCAGCAGTGAGCACAGGGCACGGACCATATGGGGAAAAGGGGTTAACCTGGGAACGAAAAAGGGGGTCTAACCTGGGGCGTGTAGGCTTTACCTGAAAAAATGGGGTTTCACCTGAGGGCTGTGGGGGCTGGTCTGTGCCCTGTGCACTGCGCTGCTAGCAACGGTTGAATTTAAAAATGAATGAGTTGCGAGGGGGTGCATGGTATGAAGAAGCATGCGCTATGGAATGTGGAAGGTGCAGGGGTTGAGAGCACTTAGCCTTTGACGATCAGGCACAGAGCGGATGCAGAGCAAATGCAGAGGCCAGCGGTGCTGCCACTGCTGCTGCCACGAACGGTTCGCTCAGCACCGCCTGCCATCACTGCTGCCGTCCGCACTGCACATTGAAAGGCGAGCAGACAGCGAAATGACAACCAATAACGACGTTATTGAAGCACGAGATGGTGGTGTCCAAATTAACGGGAATAAATGCACGTTGGGAAGGATTTGGCTGCAAGGTCGACTACGAAATTACTAAAGTAACAGGACTAAACGGACTGAAACTGGTGAAAAACGAAATCGGCGAATCACTTACCAAGATTCGTTGGATAGCAAAATGGCGACGACTTGGTCGCAGCCTGGCGAATATGTGAAAGCAGTTGACAATCGAAGTGAAAATCGAGGATGAACGCAAAGGGAACCTGTATAACAAGGAAGAAGTTGGTCAGATAAGGTTGTGAAGGGGAACAAATAAAATATAGAATCAGCTCGCATGACAAATTCGCGACGAATTACTCACCGAAAAATAGGTGAGTTGCAGATTGACGACGGGGTGGGAAATCGCGTCTACTGGCGATCATCCCAATTTCAAAGATTGTCTTCACGAACGGAGAGAGTGGAGAATAGCGAGATTCCAAAATAGAATAGCTTCGCTAGCAGGACGATGAAAAACGAACTCAGATTCTCAGGAGTTCGGCTGAAGACGAGCAGAACGAGCCTGGTTGGAGAGAAATTGAGTGAACAACGGCTGAGAAATGGCAGAATGAGGGGAGGGGTCTGGGATTGAGTCACTCCCTCCAAACTGTTATCGCCTCCAGTTTTCGAACTGAGATCTGACGGTTCTAGATTGATCGTCTTACAATGGTTGGGTCTAACTTCGATCCTAACCGTAGCTCGAAAGTACCAGCGTGTCACGTGTGTGTGGTTCAGGAGAGAAAGAATCGTCTGTCTGCCAGATTCTTCACGTGTCCCCATCGCCGACAAAGTGGCTGCATCGAAACAGAAAGCGTCCGACGTGTTTCCGAAAATGTCCGTTATCGCAGGCGGGAATGAAGGATGTGAGGAGGGGAACATGAACCATGTGAATCTCGACCGTAGATTTTCAAAATCTCACCCGTTCCGTCACTTCGCTATCTTTCGCGCGCCTTCCACTTTTCCGAACTGCTAGTGTTGGCCAATGTGAGGACACCAAACCCTAGCCGTTGTGATCCCCCTGCCTGCCTGAAGCATCTCTCCCTCCCTTGCCTGGTAACCCGAGACTACGCGAGCGAGGAAGGTTGGCGAGACAACCAGTTGGGGTAACGGATGGGCTTTCGTAGTGGCGAAATTCCGGATTGGTGAGAATTCGTGCCTGCTCCCTCCTGACGAACTGGTTGGTGACTCCTCTGATACCGATCTGAGTGGAGACAGGTTGCTCTGCTTGATAAGAGCATTTCCTACTCTTACCAATCAGAGCGCAAGAAAATATTATGACATGGCAGTTTCCGCATGCAGCAGCGTTCTGAACCGAAGTTTTGTGCTTTGTGCATAGCGAAATGGGCTGTACAAATATACATATAATAGAGGACGGGGTTGCTGAATGATTTAGAATCATATAATAGGGATGCATTAACAATTTTCAGAGCAAATGTTCATAGCCCCAATTCTTCTGTCCAGGTGATGCATTCTCCCTTTAGATTAATATGGTTTGGTTTTCTTGTAACTTCCATGCAGACAATGCCGTCAGCTTGTCATAAAATCGGCTGAATGTATGAATACCGTCAGCTCACTAAGATTGTCGAATCATGTCGTCGGATAACCATACTGTCAAACTATATATGTTCTATTATAATGTGTAGGCTGTAGTGGGGTAGCCAATATGGGGTACAACCCCTTTAGGGTTTCTATTTGTACCCAACTCTCTCATAGTTCATTCATTCGTGCTTGTAGTTCTGACATGGTTTCAGAGCAGTAGGTCCGTAGGACCGCTTTTTTTTCGGGCCCACCCGTGCCCTGCCCTGCGTTGCGCCGCCCGCGCACGCCCTGCCCTACCCTGCCTTGCGTTGCGCAGCCCCGCGCACGCCCTGCCCTTCCTTGCGCCGCGCCGCCGCTGCATTCCGCGCCTCGCCCGTCTGCAGCCCGCGCGGCCCGCGCGTCGCCCCTGCCTGCCTGCGCGCAGCCCCTGCAGGCCCGCGCGTCGCCCGCCTGCAGCCCGCGCAGCCCGCGCGCTGCCCGCACAGCCCGAGCGCAGCTTCTGCCGGCCCGCTGCGCTGCCCACACAGCCCGCGCGCAGCTTCTGCTGGCCCGCGCGCCGCCCGCCAACAGCCCGCGCGACCTGCGCGCTGCCCTCGCGGCCTGCGCGCCGCCTCTGCCTGCCCGCGCGCAGCCCCTGCCGGCTCGCACGCCGCCCGTCTGCTGCCTGCGCGGCCCGAGCACTGCCCTGCAGCCCACGCGCCGCCTCTGACTCCTCGCGCGCTGAACGTCTGCAGCCCGCGCGGCCCGCGCGCAGCTCTTGCAGCCCGTGCGCCGCCTTGCTTACCGCACGCCCGCTTACTCTGCCCTTCGCTGCGACGCTATGGCCACCCTCAGTGTCCTCGAGTTTGATCCTGACGGCCGCCCTATTAAGTTCGAAACATGGCTGCAGGACCTACAGCTGTTTCTCCTGAGCGACTCCAAAGACGATGTCTCCCTCTTTAACCTCACGTCTGGAGCTCGTCCTGCCCCTCCTGACTCTGCCGATAGTACGGTTCGCTCGAAATGGCTCACTCGCGACGCTGCCGCTCACTTAGCCGTCCGTAACCACCTGCCGATAGCCGAACGCGAGCACTTTGATCAGACTAAAACGGCCAAAGACCTGTACGACGCTGTAGTCGCTCGCTACTCTTCCCCTACCACTGCAGCTCTAGGCCACCTCATCCTCCCCTACCTCTTTCCCGAGCTGTCCTCTTTCGACACTGTAGACGACCTCATCACCCATCTCCGCGCTATGGACACTCGCTACCGTGCTGCCCTCCCCACCGAGTTTGTCCCCAAGAACGAGCCCCCGATTTACATCACTCTCTACTTTATAGTCACTCGCCTCCCCGACTCTCTTAGCGCAGTCCGGGACACCCTTCTCGCCCTTCGCCCCACAGACCTCACTATCGACCTGCTCGCGAAGCACCTCCTAGCAGCTGAAACCAACATAGTCGCAGTAGGTGTTGCTCGTGGCACTCCCCGCACGCCCTTCTTTGAGGGGTGCTCCCCCTCCCCACTTGCCCCCTCTGTTGCTTCTGCTGCTGCTGTCGAATTCCTTGGTGCTGAGGGAGTCGGGGCTGCTTCTGCTCCTAGTGGGAAGCGCCGCAACGGCAGGGGCAAGGGAGGCAAGAGTGTTGGGGGTGGCGGCGGTGGAGGCGGTAGTGGTAGAGGCGGTGGAGGCGGTGGAGGTGGCGGAGGTGGCAGTGGGAGTGGTGGCGGGAGTGGGGGAGTCGGTGGCGGGGGTGGCGGCAGCGGCGGGGGTGGCAGTGGCGGTGGTCGTGGCGACAGTGGACGTAGTGGGGGCAGTGGTGGTGGCGGCGGGAGTGGCGGTGGCAGCAGCGGTGGTGGGCGGACTGAAGTTGGTCAGCGGCAGCAGCAGCAGCAGCGGCAGCGTGAGACCCTCTCGTCCCAGCAGCTTCGTGACTGGTATGCTCAGCGCAGGGTGTCTGGGGGTAGTGCTTCCTGCCCGTACGTCATTCGCACTGGTGACCGCAAGGGTCAGACGTGCGGCAAGCCTCACACCCAGTACCGCTGCTTCTTCCGCCTAGATGACGCTTTGCGCACTGAGTTTGGCGATGATCATGAGATGCCCCGCTGGACAGAGCTGCTTAAGGCTGGTGTTGAAATCTTTGATCTTGACTATGATACTATCCTTACTGGCATGTATGCTTTGTCTACTAGTGCAGAGGGTGACTGTTACTTGTGTGTGCCGCCTGACCCAGGTATACCGACTGCTGCTCTAGGTGCTAGTGAGTCTGCTCTCTCTGGTACTGCGCCTGCTGAGGCCTTGCACACCTTCACACTTGACTCAGGTGCTACTCGCTGCTTCTTTCGCGACAGTACCACACTCACACCACTCACTAGACCCGTTGCAGTCTCCCTGGCTGACCCCTCGGGGGGCCCGGTGCTTGCACGTTCCACCACTGTTCTCCCGTGTCCGGCGGTTCCGTCCGGCTCACTGTCAGGTCCCCACCTCCCCTCGTTCTCGACGAACTTGGTGAGCAACGCTGCCCTTCAGGATGCGGGGGTTGATACCTTCGCCCCTGGACTGCAGCGTGTGGCGATCTGTACGTGCTCCCGGACTGGCCGTCACCTGGCCACGTTCACCCGTCGGCCTGGGTCGAGCCTGTACACACTGACTACTGAGTCTCCCCAGGTGGCTGTGTCTGGTCAGGTGTCCGCGTCAGGTCAGGCAGCAGCCCCTTGCTCGTGTCGCCACCTCTCACACCAGACTCTCCTCTGGCACCACCGCCTTGGTCACCCCTCCCTGCCACGCCTCCGTAGCATGCACTCCCGCCTCCTTGTCTCTGGTCTTCCCAGGTCTCTGTCCTCCCTCCCGCGCTTCCCTGCCCCGCCCTGCATTCCTTGCGTCGAGGGGCGGCAGTGCGCCACCCCTCACTCCTCCTCGTTTCCCCCGACAGAGGCTCCCCTGCAGACTCTCCACATGGACGTGTGGGGCCCCGCCCGTGTCCGTGGATAGGGCGGCGAGCGGTACTTTCTGCTCGTTGTTGACGACTACACGCGTTACACCACGGTCTTCCCCTTGCGCACCA